CAGCAACCCGGCCCCCGGCTCAAAAAGGTTGCCTACCCCTGCTGTATTCAGTCAGCAAATTCAGCAGCAAAAAATGTCTGATAAGATCAGGATGCCGCCCGAATTAAGATTAAGCCGGAGAGAGGTAAATTGGTTTAAAAAGCCAAGCAATAATCTCCTGCTACACATCGCATCTAATTCTGGCATTGACACAGATGGTCTCATAATATGTAATAAATAAATAATATACAATATATCTTTAATCTTCACCCCTTTTCTAACCTTGTATTGTAGGGTGCTTCCAGATAAACAGTTCCTTGTGCAACTGGTCAAAATCCACTGTGCACCTGTCTTTCCTTCAGTATCATTTTATGTGGAGCAAGAAACAAAGATGAGAAAAGTAGTGGGCAAGCACAGAGGGTAAGAAATGGAAGAAGACCCTGTTTGGACTCCCTCTAAAATTCTGTGAATGGGACAAATGACATTACACAATAAAAGCCCTGTCTTAAAGCACTCTCATTTTGATACTCGCATCCTCCTCTAGCACCCAATAGTACAATAATGAATATGTTATGAAGTCATATGCAGAAGGCTCGTTTTTGCTGGGGGCAGGAAGTCAAATACAGGGTCAAAAAAAGTGAGTGTGCTCCTTTTCCACTGTGAATTTTGACAGGATTTTCCAGTATCCAGCCGAGTTGCTTTTTTTTCTGCCAAAAAGACCAGCAGGAGACTTGTGTGAGGGAGCAGCAAAGAGAAGAAACCAGGAAACCACAGCCTAGGAGGAAGTGAGTGCAAGAGAACCACAGGAGAACCAGATTGTCAGGAAAATCATTAGGGCAGCTTCTAGTTCTGTTAGCTGAGAAAATAAAAGGAAAGCTCCCATCTGGATTTGCACAAAGCTAATCCGTGGAAATCAGATGATAAATGTTGCTCGGTGAGTAGCCAGTTCAGCTCCAATCCCTGTGGCACATTCATATTTTTATGAACAGTTTCTTGTTTTATTCTTTTTCTAATCCAGCAGCAACAGCTATAGCCCTGATGGTTTCTCATGCTGAGGATTCTCTTCCCATCTCGACTGCTGATCCATCCTATGACCTTGGAAAATTTGTTTCCTTTCTTACCTATTCAGTTTCCCCAGTGTGTCTCTTCAGCCAGGAACATCTGGAGTGCAGAAAGAAGGGCATGTCCCACCTTTGTGACCTTGAGCAAGAGGCAAACTAAACTGATTCCTTTAAATGCTGAAGCATCTGGTTCTCCTACATTTAAAAAGTGCCTGGGCTATGGGCATCATCATCACCACCAGCCACCTTTAATATTTATTTCTATGTCACATTTTCAGTGTTCTACAGAAACTGAAACTGAAATAGTACCCACCTGGAACATAATGGAGAACAGACTCCTCAAGGAAAAGAAGTGAGAAGGGCCCCAGTGCAGAATTCTTCTTTCATTTGAAGTCTCTCTAATGTTAGGACTCTTCTGTTCCCTTGTTTACAGACTCAGGCCCTGCTGGGCCAACTGAGAACCCAAATCTCAATTTCTCTCAGATGTTGTCATCAAAGATAAAAGATTGCCTGTGTTCCACTTCATGTTGGTAAACCTGTTTTTGTGCCAGGCGAAGGTAATGATAATGGAAAGATATTCCATAGTGGCTTCTAATCACTCCCTTCCCATGGCTAAGAGCTGGCTGGTATAGACAATCATGTAGCCAACCTTTGAGTGCCCCACTGTCCTGTGGACATTTGTTCTGTATGAACACATACATAATCCTTAGCTGAGTGTAATTTGGGTATTGTGCATTTAGACTAAGAAATAGTAAATGTGTTTTTTAAACCAACAGAGTAAATACCCTATATATTGTAAATCATTGGGTTAGATCCAGCCTTAATCATGCTTAGAATAGACCCACTGAAATCAGTGGGGCTTAAGTTAGTTATTACAAAATTAAATATCATTTATTTTAAGGGGTCTGTTCCAAGCAAGATTCAAGAGACCCAAAAGTGTATATTTCTATTGTTTCAAATAACTCTCTTGATTACTTCTGCTTAAAAGGGAAAAAATGGGGTTGGTCAGAACCACACCATGTCTTATGTGATCCAAATGCACATGCCAACTATCTACAGTGAAGGCTGACCCTATCCTGATCTATACTGTCCAGACTGGTATGTTTTCAAATCATATGGTCTTTGAAAAGGTTTGCCCTAAACTAGAATAGAGAACCTCAGACTTTCTAGGGTCCTCCTGGTTCTGTCCCTAGACATTTGTCAGTGACCAAATATAACAATATATTAGTTTAAATAAACTAATATTTTAAAACAAGCTGTGGGTTGTTGTCTTCCTTTTTAAAATTTATTTCCCATTCTTTCCCAAAATAAACATCTTTCGATATAGTGACAGCTTTTAAATGGTTGATTTTCCCAATGTATTAAATTGCCTGGTTAGTAAGCTATTCTTTCTTTTCTAAGGTTACTGGAGTGTAGCTATGGGTGGGCTTTGAGCACTGCCTTGCCAATAGGAATTCTGGCCCCTCCCATGAAAATATTCCCAAATTTCTAGCATTAGAGAGTGAAAAATTGAAAACCTTCCTCACCTAGGACGTTATCACACGTGGGCCAGAAAGCGATAATAAAGTGG